CCCCCCCCCCCCCCGTTCCAATCAGAATGTCTCAGCCAAACCTGGAGCGCCCTCCCAGCCAGCTGTCTCCTCCAGAGGTGGCTTTCCAAAGGATGCTAGCGATGGAGCTGCGGAGCCCTGACCATCCCCGAGCTGGGCGCCCTATCTTCTCTCCCTCCCCGGGGCTGGTGGCTGGACTCTGAACAACTCCCTTTCAATAAAGGGGCCAGTCTTCACTGGTAATGGCTGGTATTTGGCTCTCAGCCTGGGGAGGCAGCTCGGCTAGCAGCTGGGTTCACTCCCACTTCATCCTGGCTGAAGGCAGTGCTGAGCTCTGAAATGTAGCCGACGAATGAATACCCAGTCTGATTACCCAGATTTGGGCAGACCAGCAGTGCTCGCCAGAATTATCTGGCCTGCTTTGGGGGATCCAGGTGGTGTTACATGTCCATTTCATGCTTTGGGGGCTCCTAGCCCCACAAAACACTTTCAGCAGAGCCTTTATTAAAAGGAATCCTGCAGACTCTCCTGGTGACCGACCTTTCCTTTCTGTCCCCTCTCTAAAGACTCTGATGACTGGGGAGGGGGGAAGTGGTTGAAAACTGTCAGCCATGGGTAGGGTTAGGAAGAAACGCCACAGATACTACCAGATTTAAATAAGCATTTAATTAGGATTTCATTAGTATTTAATATTGCTTTTTTCAATTCCAAAAAGTTAAATTTTCACTTCTTAGCAGATAGTTTAAAGTACAATATTAAGTTTATACAAAATGAGCAATTAAGCAAACACCATTATTTCACATTCTTCAAAAATACAAATTCATATTTATTCTTTTTTGGGTTTAGAGGTTTCTTCCTTTGGAAGTACTGAACCTGTAACGTTTTCATATCGCTCAGTGGAAGTCTGTTGTTCCCATGTTTCACAAATAAATTTGGTAGGCTTTTACATAATCCAAATAAAACTATTTGGGATTTTAAAGAACTTTCAACCAAGACCTCTGGCCAATGACTAGTGTGTGTCAAAAAAAGAAGGTTGTCGTGGGTCTTGCCTCTCCTGGCCAGAAAATCTGAGCCAGAGATTCAGCAAAACCCTGTTTCCAGCCACCTTCCCCAAACAGGGACTAGGAGTTTACAGGGAAAGAGAACAGCCACCCTGAACTCCGACCTCCCACCCCCATATTCTCCAAAACACAACAAAGGATGTAGACTGTCTTGTCAAACAGCGCCCTGGGGAGGCCTGAGGACAGGGGAAAGGGCAAGAGAGGCCTCTTGGACTTGGCACCACTATGAGGATAACAAGGATATTGCAGAAAACACCCCTGGGTTTGGTGAAGAAAAGATTTTATGAAAAATTTCCCCGTAAGAAAAAGAGTAGAAACTGCATTGAGCTGAGAAAGTGACATGACATCATCACCCAATTTGGGGCCCAACAAGCACACCACCAAAAGGGCAGTGTGTGGTTTTAAACTTTGCTTCCAGTAAAAAAAGCTTGTAATATGTACACATTGACATAAAGATCCAGTTTAGTTTGCATTTTTCAGTGCAGACTGAGAAGCCCTCTCTTGAACAGGAGTAACAGAAATGCCCAAACAGTGATCATCAGCTTCCCCAAAAGGTGTGAGAAGAAACATGGGACCCCTTCTCTTGCCTCTCAACATATGCAAGAGAAAAGAGGCTAAACTGATGACCAATCAGAAATATGCTTAGTTCAGTTTTGTTGCCGCTCCCCTCCCCAATATTTAGGAATGGTCAATTTCTGATCTATGTCATAGCAGAACTATTTGCATATGATTTATGGAAATCTTTCTGCTTTGGCTGAAGTATGTTTTAAAACTTCTCTATTCGTTAGTAGCCTGAAAACTGAAGATAAAATGGGAGGGGGAGAGGAGTGAGATGGAAGGAAGAAAGTTCATAAAGCAGATTATTAACAGCTTTGTTTACTGGATTCAGTGAGGGCTGGAGGCTTTTGCTTAAAGAGCCCACAGGATGGCGGGTTGTACCCCTGTGACCCCCACCACCTTCCCCAAACATATTTCTGATTGGTGGTGTAGGAAAACTGTAAACTCATTAGCAATATTGTTGCAGTTCCACAAATCCATGATTTCAGTGACTCTGGAGAAGTCTTTAGATTAAGGACAATGGACCTGATTACAAATGTAAAAGTCTAGAAAGTGCCAGGTGTCTACCTAGGAACAACCGGTTTCTTCCTTTCAGGCATCACTGTGTAATGGTGAAGGGGGGAAAGATGGCAAAGGGCCAAGCAGAAGTGATGAAAAAGGGCCTCAACAGTCAGCAGAAAAAACAGGACCCGCAGCAGTTCTTCAGAGAGCCTGAGGGGGTGCCCTTGGGCACACAGGGAAGGCTTGCATAGATTGAGCAGTTGCTGAGAATGCATAATAGTGTTTCCCTATGGACAGCCTCATAGCACAGGGCTGATAGAATGGAAAAACGCGGCCAGGCCAGGGTCACATGGGACAACGACCGTCAAGCTACACATATTGCACCAAGGTAAGTGCTTTTCTTGTCACACCTCAATTTAACTTTTTTTCTGAGCAAAAAATAAAACTTTGTGGAAAGTATATATATGTATATATATATATACACACACAAAAGAAATTGCAGCAATTGAGTTAAAGATAAAATAACCTAAAGTGCTTTTTTAAAAAATTATTTCTTTAATATACCAATATGAGGTTCTGCAAACCCGTCCCTTTGGACACATTCAGCATTATACAAAATCTCTCAGAAAAACCCACCCGCCCATTATCCCCGTCAGTCTGCTGCCTTGACCCTGAAAGTAAAACTCTCCAGTCTATTAACTCTCCAGAGATGGTGAAAAGAAGTTCCTTGCTTCTATCCAGAGCAGTCTTCACACCTTAAGGCCCCTCCTGGGCTTTGTACCATGATCTCCTTCTAAAGGGGGGTGGGGTGGGGCGGGGTGGGGCGGGGTGGGATTCAATGAGTGACACCAATTCCTGTCATCAAACTACTGATGCCCCTGTGAGGTTGGCCAAACTGCCAGGAAAGGTAGGGCCACTTTCCCTCGATGCCTCCCTCACCTCCCTGGGAAGGGCCACATTCACTAAGGCAATTTGGTGGGACCGGCCGAAGTGTGCGGCCACCTGCCAAGCCCACACACCTCCAGATTCCCCAGGCTGACCAGCACCCTGTAAAGGGGCAGTCTGACTGGGACGCCAGTGGGAGCAGGAAGTCTCAGTCTACAGGGGGAATGTGATTAAGGTTACCGTGGGAAGAACAAAGGCATGATTTTACCTGCTGCAAGTCTGCACACCTTCCCTAGCTTCACCCTAGGATTGTTCCTGGGTTTGAAAACCACTCTTCATGAAGGCTCTTTGTGGCTCCATTTTCAGTGGCCCTCTGTTCTCCAAGGCCTTTGGCACTAGAGACCAGGCTGACAGAAGCGGGGTAGGGCGGGGAAGAGTGCTAAAGAGGAAGGAAATGAGAGACTGCCTACCCTGTGGAGTAAACCTGCTCTTCACACTCACTAGCATTTTAAGCACATCCCTGATGTTTTCAAAGCCCCACTGTAATCTCTGGTCACCCTCAAAAGGCGGATACTTCAACTAGAAAAATCTGTCAGCCTAAAACTCGGCTTCTTTATCACCCTCAACCTTAGGAGAGCAGAAAAGTCACTGACCTGAGCAGACCCAACACAAGCGCAGCAGTGGGGAAGCAATATTTCAACCACGAGCACTTCCGATGGCCTTCACCAGGCTCCTGTTTTCCACCTCAGCTCCCAGGAGCCACATCTCAGGTGAGCCTAAGGTGGGCACAGGGGGAGGTCACTAGGGACCCCACCGTGCTGCTCTCTCAGAAGGTGTGGAGAAAACAGCCAGGGACCTACCGCAAAGCTTCCCACGAGCTCACGGCCTAGCGACAGCCGAGGATAGCCCATACTCAGCAGCTATTTTCCAGGGAGACGAACCCACTGTGGTAACACAAGGCTCCTCCTGCCTCATCAACTTCTGCTGAGGTCAGTGGTCACCCAGAACCCACCAGCCTTTTGGACAGGAGAATGCAGAGGGTCAAAAAAGAAACGGATTCTCCTGACTAGACTCCAGGAGAGAAACACCACCAGCTGCTTGTAGTTAAGCCCACTTCTCTTCGGCAGTCACAGTTACCACCTCTGCCCTCTCATCCGAATCTGTCCCTGAACATCCTGTTAAAGGCAGGGCCCCTGGCTCCCAGGTAAATGATTACTCTAGATACTGTCTTGGCTGGCCCTGAGAAATGGTGCAGGGAACAGGACAGTGACAAATGCAGATCTCGTCGCCTTAGGGAGTGAAAAAGGAAGGCAAAATTACAGCTGCTTTCTGCCCGACGTCGTTGACTCAGTAGGGCAGCCCTGTGTGTGGCACCCTGCTTCTCGCGCAAGGCAGGGACGAGGCCCTTGGGAGGCAGAGACCTCGTTAGACCTTGGGCCGTACCTAGTTTCTGAGTTCAATGAGTGTGGGGAGCACTCATGACTACATTAATATAGCCAGTTAAGAGAAACTTTCCATTTTAGTGTGGATTGTATTTTATATTTTAAGAGGCAATGACTGACTCGGAGCCAAAGGCAGAGAGATGGATATAATTCTACACACAAATAAAAAAATTTTTTTCCCTATAACACAACTTAATGAAACATTCCAAATGAGAAAACTTATTGCAACATTTCAGGCTTTTTGGTGGAAGGGGAATTTTTTGTTTTACCCTGAGTAGAAGATCATCGCTTTGTGTTTTTTTTTTCCTTTTTTTTTTTTTTTGTTTAGAAATCATATGACTAAGCCGAGCAAGTCACATCCTTCTTTGCACTGTACTAGGCTGTATGCAAAATCCAGAGGGGTGACAGGCAGAGAGTGGGGGCGGAGGGGCAACCAAAAGCCTGGCTGGAACCCAGAACCAGGATACCTGGCCTGCCGATGACATGCCACCAAACATCACTCCCATCAAGCCGCACCTTCTCCTGATCAGCAAAATGCAGCTCTTCTGCTCCGAGGAAGAAGATACCATTCAGGGGAGGCAGACCACCAGCCATCAACTGGCCATAAACCACATGTCCATTCTCAGACGAAACAGGGATGTTCCCCAAGAAAAATTCATCACTGTGATCTGCAAGCCCTGGCAACCAGCAGAGAGAGAGAGAGAACCCAGAGCAAAGAGTATGATCGCATTGATAGAGCCTGCTCTGCACAGGTGTCGCGGACAGAGAGCAGTCAACAACTTGCCTAGGGCTCCCGCAGAAGCGGACAGTGCCCACAGCCTCGGACCAGGATTTTGGATGCCCGTTTGTGATGCCGCTGGCTGCAGGGTGACATCAGCCATAGTCACCCTCAACTCCACCATCACCAACCACAGACCACAAAACCACCTCGCCCGGTCCCTGTCCAGCTCACGGCCGTCTGACCTGCCTTTGCCACTTGCCTCTTGGATGGAGTGAGGGTCTGGCCTTGCAAGCAAGCTTCAGCCTCAAAAGACACACGGGGCACCGCAACATCCAACACACTGAACTCCACTGCCCAGGCTACAAAGACCCCAGTGCAAGTGATGGGCAGCATCAGATTGATGGAAACCACACCCTTTCATTTACAATTTTTATGCATACGAGTAACCTTAATTTCCAAGTTCACATGACAATAAGCAAAAGTGACATACAGTGCAGCCAAACAGTTCATTTATAACTTAGCTTTTTTTTGTGTTTTTGTTTTGTTTTTTTCCAAAGATCAGTTCATTAAAAATGGATGCTCCTGGGATAGGAATAAAGAAAATATGTCTGAAAGGTGAGGATTTCAAACAGTAGATTTCTTCATCCTTCAAATTGCTGACCCCCACGATGTCAGGCATCACACACCTCCTGCTTCCTGCTCGGCCTGTTCCAGGAGGGGAGCACAAGCGGGCCTTTCACTTGGAGAAGCTGCTGGTCAGGCCCATCTCTTCCTCCTCCTGCAGTAGTGCTTCAATGGGAATCAGATTGGAAGTGGTGTCCAGGCTCTGGAGGGACAGAAACTCTGACATATCTATGGCACGGAGCGGCTCTGTCTGCGGGTCTGAAGGAGTCACCACCTGTCTGCTTTGCTCACAGGGAGGGGCAGCAGCGGACGAGGAGGACAGGGGGATCGGGGGTGGGGAGAAAGTCTGTGGGGGCAGCTTCAGGCTGGGCCCGTCAGGAGGCTGGGCGCTCAGCGTGGGAGGGGGCGGGGAAGGACAGCCCTTCCTCCTGCTGGCCGCCCGCTCCTTGGCAGAGTCCCGGCACGCGCACTGACACTGACAGGCCTCCTCTTGTTTGATGATGATCACAGGAACACTGAGGCCAATCTGCTGTACCGCGCTCCCTGCGAGAGAGGCAAGAGAGACTGCTCTTCACGGAGCCACAGGGCAAGGGCTGGGCAGGAGGGTGTGAGACTAGCGGAGCCCCGCGGAGGCAGAGCGATGGGAAGGGTTGGATGCCACGCTCCGGGTTTTGTTCTGCTTTAAACTGGACCGCGTTCTTCCTCAAGTAAGAAGCCTCTGACACTCCCCATCCCCTCCAAGACAGAAAAGCCACACACCATCTAAATGCACCCTATTCTCCTAGCTTCATCTCTGGCCACTCTCCCAGGCACCCGCCATGCCAGCCACAGTGGATGCCTCTCTCTCTCTGCACGTTCCTCAAAGCTCTGGGCTCAAGAGCTCGTCTTGCCTCAATTCTTCTGGAGAACTTGACTCATCTCTGAGTTCATTCCCCTCCTCTCCCAGTGCTTCCAGGCAGTGTTTGCGGCAGGCTGATACCTTAGGGCTGGCCCAAGGGCATTAAGAGCCAGTCCACACTGTACCATTTAGCCCTGCCTGCCCCAGAGGCTCTGACCTCCTTTAGGACATCCTGCTCAACTTTGCAGCCAGGTCTCTGACACAGTTATGCACACGTTCCTTCTCTCTTGCATATGTCTGTTGTGCACAAGCACACTCTTGAGTTCAGACAGGCTTCACGTGTCTCAAAAGAGCTAGAGACCACGGGGCAAGAGAACAGGTGGGGGGGGCGAGGCCTGTCTGAACTAGTGCTTTGGCTCTGCCACAAACTCACTGACCCCCTTTGGGGGCCTGAGTTTTTTAATGTATAAAATAAAGTGTTTGAGAAATAGGACCCTTTAGCTTTATAGGAGTTTCTGACCCAGATGCTATTTCTTCATTACTGTAATTAGAAAAGAATCCAGTGAATTAATAACTTCTCTCTTTAGCATTAACTGTGATTCAGACTTTTTTTCTGGCTACATTAAAGACTACATGTAAAAGGGAAAGAACCATTACTAGTTAAAGAATGTTAAATGTGGTATTTATGCTCTAAGTGCAGTAACTTTCAATAGCTGTAAGAATATGAAATATTCTAATAGAAAAATAATACACGATAAATTTAATTTAAAAAAAAAATTAAAATCCAGGGCAAAGCAAGATTAACTAACTGTGCCTCAGGGGGCCCAGAGAGTTGACTTCCATTTAAAGCTAACACAGAATTACATACCTGTGCTACTGGCTACTGGTACTGCAGTGGTAAAAAACACCTTCTCAACTTTAGATGCTTGCTGCTGGGGGGGAAAAAAAAATCACATTTATGGCTACTCAAATATGATAGATCCCCAAGGACATGACGCCTCCCCAATTGTAACAGTCATCCAAGAGGACAGAAAACCCTCAGTGTTTAGGGATTTTTGCCCTGAGCGATGCTTTGTTTGTGATCTGACATGAAGTCACCACACTGCTGGACATTCAGTGCTAACAATGTAGCCGTTTTTGTCCCCTACTCCTTGGCTGTCTCCCAGCTGCTTAATCCAGTAGGTTCTATGTGCACAAAGGCTCCTCCAAGGTTGCTTTTCTCAAGTGGACGGTCTTCTCAGGGGGAGCCAGGGTGCTAGCTTCCCCTCTAAGCTCTCTACTCCCTGCTGACTCCCAAAGTTCTTTTTACCCCTTGAGGACTAAGCTGCAGGCTAAGAAGAGGTCAAGACTTCCTCTCACAGGCAGAAGACCTATGAAGGCCCTGGGCAGTATGGTGTAAGCTGCACAGGGTGGTGCCCAAGGGGAGCTCTGGACTCAGCCACACCAGGATTCAAGTTCAGGCTTGGTCACTTACTAGTTGTTGATGTCAGGCAAGTAATTTAACCTCTTAGTCTTGGTTTCCTCACCTGTACAAACTGGGATGACAATCCAAAGACTGTCCCAAAGGCCCCAAAAGGATGAAATGAGATGACGCATGTGAAGCCTGGGGCTCACCATGGGGATTCAGCAAATACTAGCTGTATATATGAGCACTAAGTAGGACCATCAAGTTGCGCCCAGAAATCACCCCTCACTTTAGTACAATTGGCTATAGGGTTTTTGCTTTCTCCAAGTCGTATTAAAAAGGGCTTTATCTTTCGTCCTTTTAAGGAAAATAAAAAGTGCCTCTGGGATGAGTCTAGGAGTAATATGAATGCTTCTGGCTAAGTTATAGGGGAAGACATTATAAAACAATTATGGAGGATGAGACTCACATACAAATACATGAAAACGTGCATGTGCTTAGTCACTTCAGTCATGTCCGACTCTTTGCGACCCTACGGACTGTAGCCTCTGTCCATGGGGGTTCTCCAGGCAAGAATACTGGAGTGGGCTGCCATGCCCTCCTGCAGGGGATCTTCCCAACCCAGGGACCGAATCCAGGTCTCCCACACTGGGGCGGATTCTTTGCTATCTGAGCCACCAGGGAAGCCCACACGGAAACGAGCTGGATGGAAAAAGCAGCAGCTGCTCCACGCAGCTCCCCAGGGCAGCACAGATCCGGAAAGAGGAGGCATGTGGCTGCCAGAGGGGAGGAGGGAAACAGGCGAGGGAGGCTAAGAACTATGAAAGTCCGCTTGCAAGACACATGCGTCATGGGTATGAAATGTACAGTGTGGGGAATACAGTCAATGAGTATGTAAATCTCTGGATGGTGACATATGTCGTGGTGTCACATATGGTGACTACTTATCATGGTGATCATTTTGAAATGTACAGAAATATCACTATGTTGTCTTAACAGGGACAGAGGCAGGTCTGTGGTACTTCAAAACAAGCAAATAGACTCACTGAAAGATCAGTTTTGTGCTTACAGGAGGCAGGGGTGGGGAGGGGAGAGGGGGAATTGGATGAAAGCAGCCGCAGAGCCAGACCTCCAGTTAGGAGATAAAGGACTGGGGCACAGCCACCATGTGACGGACACGATTAGCAGATTAACACGGCTGTATGTTACACATGAAAGCTCTCTAAACAGTCAATCCTGAACGTTCTCACATGCAAACATTTTTTTCTGTATCTTTAATTTTGTATCTATCATGTGATGATGGATGCTCACTAAACTTGTGTCAAAGTATTATGCTGTATGCCTCAAACTTATACTCTATCAATTATATCTCAATAAAACTGGAAGAAAAAAGAAAAAATGCCATTATCATATATGAGATAGTAGGATCATTTCCTGTATACAGCCATCAGCAAATATAAGAACAGTAAAAATAATGGGAAAAAAATTTTTGTTTTGGCCGTGTCATGTAGCCTGTGGGATCTTAGTTCCCCAAGCAGGGGTTGGCTGCCCTTTGCAGTGAAAGTGCGGAGCCTTCACCACTGGACTGCCTGAGAAGCCCCTGAAAATAATTTTAAATAACGAAAACAATAATAACAACTAAAAAACTGAACTACCTGGAGGCAGATTGGATCATAATGCTGAAGAGACCGTTCCAGGGATGCTGGCCATCTGAAACTGGGACTAGGGTGCCTCCAGAGGTGGTTGGCATCCATCCCATTTATGGAGTTTGAGTGCTCTTACCATTTAGCTCTAACCTACCTTTCCAGTTTGTTTGATAGCATCATACACCCACCCAGACCTACTCCTACTGAGTGCAACCTTTCCTCCACATAATTCCTGCTCATACCTCAAGAAGTCTCAGCTGACCTGTATGGCCACCCAACAAGCCTTTAGTCTCTGAACCCCTCGTCTGGCAGCAGAAGGTAGCAATCAGGAGCTTGGATTCTGGGACTGGTCTGTCTAGGCTTTGCCATTTATAAGCTGTGTGACCTTGGACAAATCACTTAACTTCTCTGGGTCTCAGCTCTCCATTGATAAAATCATATCTACTTCCTAGGATTGCTGTGATTAAAATACTTAGCACGGGGGGTGACACATCTAGAGATACAAACATATAGAGATGTTAATAACCATTTATCAATAATAATTCACTTACAATAAAAGGACAACATTGATATCAATTAATAATGAGGGAAACTAGGCTGGGGGTGGGCAGGGAGCAGGAAGTGTATGGAAGTTCTTACTATCTATTCGATAAAACCTAAAAAATATGTGTAATCTAAAAATAAGGTACCTAAGGTAATGACTGGCATGTTAGATCCTCAATTTTAATAAGTTAGTTAGCATAGGAAGCCCATACATATAGTAAGGGCTCAATAAGTCACAGCCATTGTTATTTTTTATTACCATTATTTTTATTATTTGACACTTTATCTACTGGTAGCATTAATTTTCTTTTAGGCATTTTAGCCTCTATAACTAGAATATAAGTTTTTATCAAAAAGAAATCATGTTCTTTTCATTTTTCCAGATTTCCAACAGTATCCTGTGTGGTACCTGGTATCGAGCAGGCCCTCAAAATATACTCAGCTGAACAACCACATCATTTCCTTAGCCAAGGAGACCACACACTTGGGTAGAATATGGCCCTACGATGGACTCTGGGAGCACAGATTACTTCTGACTTGGCCACTGCGGTCTGTTTCCATCTAATGAGGTCCCATCAGTCCCTCAGCCTAGGCTGGACTCTGCCTTGGAGATCGTTCTTGGGCTATCCTGTGGGAGTTGACAGAATCAGACCGCAGCTGAAATACCTAGGTAAATTTGAAAATTGTTTCTCTGGCCCTCTATTTTGTATTGAATGCAACATTCCCCGATTTACACTGATTATGGGGGAAATGACTGGTAGAATGATGTGTCTCAGGGTAGAAATGACAGCGGTTTTCCTTTTTTGAAGTAAAGGCCTCTGAACATGTTACCCACAGAAATATACTTCACCCCACTGGATCCCTTTCCACATCATACTTACAATTTGTTCTTGAGTTTGCGGTGTGCTGGTGGCACCATTTAGTATCCACTGTAAGTTCTGCTCTCCCATGACCAGGCTGGGCTGCAGGATAGCCGTGCTGGGAGTTGGGGTGATGGTTATAGTGGGATTACTAGTTAGGACAGAGTTGGCATCCAGGGGCAGAGTCTGGACCATGGCTGGCAGGGGCTCAGTAGTACTTTGTGGTTGGGGTGGTGCTGCCATGGCTGATGCCACTGCTGCTGCTGACGCCAAGGCCCCAGCAACAACAGAGAGTCCTGGTACGATGGGCTGCGGTGCCTGGAGGTGCGGAAGAAACTCTTGATGATTAGCAGCAAACTGCGTGCTGTGGGCAACAGGCACTTCTGGAGGTTGTAAAAGAGCAGGGGGGTTGCCAAATGCAGCTTGCTGGGAACCAGTTCCTAGGGAGGGAGCAGGCAGAGGAGCGGACGGTGCTGAGGCTGGTAGTAGAGACTGAGGTGGCTCGGAGATGCCAGGCTGCAGTATAAGTGGAAGAGATAAAGATGCTGAATGTCTTGTGGATGGCGGAACATCACTGACTGACTCCGCATCACCATTAAAACTTTCAATCAAGGCAGCTGGCAAGAAAAAGAAATAGAAACATAGATACACATTCCAACCCTTATATAAGCCACAAAAACACAGTCTCTATGGGCTACACCAAAGACAGCTGAAGTCTGCCAGGGTCGATTCCTTCATTGCAGACAGGCTAGCTCTCTGCTTTTCATGTAATGACCCCTCTGGTCAAAGTACCAGGCTTCACGATCAACCTCACTTTCTAAACGTGAAGACCTAGTATGGGTCTAACCATAAAAAAAAAATGAGTCCTGTGGCTTTTGTGGAAAAGAGATTAGATATTCTTTTCTTGGCATATGACCACTGAACACATTTTCTAACTACTGTGAAGCTTCAGGGACATATTTTCATTCAAACACAGTTTGATCTACATATCTGAAGTCTGGTTTGTGGATTCTGCCCACTCATGAATGGGGAGTCACATCAGAAGAAAGTGTTCATGACTCCTCTCACTTTTTGAAGCCAACAAAAGCTGCTGGAAAAGGGGACCCTCTTCATTTGAGGGTCCAGGAAAAGTAGATCCTCAAGTAAACCCTTGATGAGGGAAGCAGGGGGAAAAAAAATGGAATTGAGCTAAAAAGCCCACCCTTCTCTGATCCCTCAATGAAAGTACACTTCATTCAAAGGACCTGAAATATGTCACTGTGCTTTTCATCTACTGTGTCAACAGTGTGAATTCTCCTTCCCAGTGCAGAGATCGGAGCAGGAAGAGAGTCTGTGTAACAAACCTGTCTGTTGAGGATCTTCCTGAATTGCCGGATCATCTGACTTCTGGAACATTGGTCCAAAAATGATTGCTGGTGAGAGAGTGCTGAGATTCTGGCCCTGTGTCAGAGACAGAGACAAAGTATGAGGCGTGCCATCCAAAAGCAGGTCTGCATCACGAGACAGCACAGAGCAGCAGGATGAGAACGATCTTTGGCTATGCTTCCTGTTTCTAACTTCTCTTTTCCTAAGGTGACATTTATTCCCCTAAGCCCCAGACACTGAAGAGCTGGGTCTTCAAACACTCTAAAGCAGGAGTTGGCAAACTGACTTGCTGGCTGAATGCCTGTTTCTGCAAATAAAGTTGTACTGGAATAGGCATTCTGGTTCACTTTTGAATTATCTCTATAGCTTCTGGACTGCAATGGCAGAGCTGAGGAGTTGTGCAGAGAATGTATGGGCCACAAAGCTGAAATTATCTATCTGGCCCTTTACCAAAAAAAAAAAAAGTTTGCTGATCCCTGCTCTGAAAGAGAAAATCCTACATAAAAGTGGGGTTGTATAATATCTATTACTTGGAATTTGCTTTTCTCATGTAATAATAATAATAATATATTGTGAATATCTTTCAAGGTTATTATATAACATCTATAACATTCTAATATGTACACATGGTGGTGAATCAAAAATATAAAGAAACTTATAATAACAGACAATAATAATGGCCTTATCCTCACCACTGTCATTCCAAGTCATTTCTTTCTAACTTACAGTTAAGAAAAGGTCAGAGGCATTTTGAAAAGCTATGAAAAATCAAAACACCTAGTGCCCTGAGGGCTTGACTCCTGCCAGGCACCAAATACAATGACCACCTCTAGGCTTCCCTTTAGTTTATTTAGGCGAAGGGGAAAAAGAGTAATTCTTTTCTCTGTGGTCCACCTCCACTTCGCATTTTGTAGAGCAACAGTGACAAAAGCAAGACTCCAAGAAGTTCAGGGAAGCTGAGGACCAGTGTGATATAGGGCTGGCCAAAAAGTTTGTTTGTATTCTTTGTAACACGAAGGCAGAAACCTAGGTAAGGCTTCCAGCCTCTAGTCCAGAGGGAGTTAGGAATCACAGGCAAAGAAAATGCCTTGAAGCTTTTCATCATGACACAAAGTAGGAAATTATATAATTTATAATAATTTATGAAAGTGAAAGTCACTCAGTCGTGTCCAACTCTCTGCTACCCCATGGACTGTAGCCTGCCAGGCTCCTCTGTCCATGGAATTCTCCAGGCCAGAATACTGGAGTGGGTTGCCATTCCCTTCTCCAGGGGATCTTCCCAAACCAGGGATCGAACCCAGGTCTCCCAAATTGCAGGCAGATTCTTTACCATCTGAGCCACCAGGGAAGTCCAAGAATACTGGGGTGGTACATGCTGCTGCTGCTGCTAAGTCACTTCAGTCGTGTCTGACTGTGCGACCCCACAGACAGCAGCCCAGCAGGCTCCCCTGTCCCTGGGATTCTCCAGGCAAGAACACTGGAGTGGGTTGCCATTTCCTTCTCCAGTGCATGAAAGTGAAAAGTGAAAGTGAAGTTGCTCAGTCGTACCTGACTCTTAGTGACCCCATGGACTGCAGCCTACCAGGCTCCTCCGTCCATGGGATTTTCCAGGAGAGAGTATTGGAGTGGGGTGCCATTCCCTTCTCCAGGAGTGGGTATATATAATAATTTATATTATATATAATTTATAAAATATATTACATACATATGAATGTATAACTGAAACAAAAGTCTATGCAACAGAGCCTGTCCTTATGATCTGCAATGTCTTCTATATTTTCTATTCTATTGCTGTCCTCAAAATGTTGATTATAAACCACTATTTTATAACCTAATAAAGATGTACCACCCAATTTGAAAAATAGTGAGCTAACAACTACCACTAAGCCGCAAGCTTTGCAGTTTCTTCATGACTGTTAGTTTTTGTTCTACTTGTTTATGAATCATTACAGGAATAACACTGTTTAAAAGGAATGAGTCTGTGTGACTTCAGAAGATGATGCACAAGAATCACATTTTCACAGCAGTACTACTGTAATGGCTCCTAACTAGAAACTTTCCAAATGCCCAAGGGCAGGAGACAGAACATACTCTTATATTCACTTAGTGTAATAACTGTTCAACAATGAGAACAAATAATCTATATATGCAACAACATGGACTAATTCCTCAAACAAAATGTTGCAAGAAAGAAGCCAGGACAAATGAGTATAGGCCACATTCGAATTATAGAAAACATAGAAACAGGCAAAATTCATCTTAGGTAGTAAGAAGCCAGGACCTAAGGATAACCTAAGTAGTTACCCTTAAAGGACCTGATGGGGGTTTCTAGGTTGTTGGAAGTGAAAGTGGAAGTGAGGTCGCTTAGTCGTGTCTGACTCTTTGCGACCCCCTGGACTGTAGCCTACCAGGCCTCTCCATCCATGGGATTTTTCAGGCAAGAATACCGGAGTGGGTTGCCATTTCTAGGTTGTTGGGAATGTTCTATCTGTTGATTTGCGTGCTGGTTACAGGAAGGGGGCAGGGCACAACCTTTAGAAGAATGGCATGGCCTGTTGTTTTTGTTTAGTTGCTCAGTTATGTCCAACTCTTTTGCAACCCCGTGGACTGTAGCCCACCAGGCTCCTCTGTCCATGGGATTTCCCAGGCAAGAATACTGGAGTGGGTTGCCATTTCCTTCTCCAGAGGATCTTCCTGATCCAGGGATGGAACCTGTGTCTCCTGCATTCCCAGGCAGATTCTTCCCTGCTAAGACACCAGGGAAGCCCAGTGGCATGGCCTGAGGACACAATATAAAGTGATTAGAAGCAACTAGGTCCAAAATGGCCATGAGTTGTCTTCTGTAAAGGTCAAACAGTGGGCAGTGGCCCAATTCCTGGAAATCCCCACCCTTTCCCCAAGACAGCTGGAATACTCCTCCTACTCATTAGCCTATGTGATTACCCAGCCCTATAAACTGACAGCCCCACGCCCTGCTGCCTCCTGGGCCTCTCTTGCCTTCTGAGATGGCCCACATTCTGGTATACCGAGTGCTTCCACCCTGAACAGACCTTCTTTCACTCTGCTATGGCTCACTCTTGAACTCCTTCCTGCACAAAGCCAAGAACCTACACTTGGTGGCCGTCCCAGGGACTCAGATGTGGCCATCCTCTTGTGCCCCACACTCTCCCTCCTGCAACAGTTACAGGAATATGATGAACTGTGATGATTCATCAAGCTGTACATTTATGACAGGTGTACTTTTCTGTATGTATATCATACCTCCATAAAAAGGCTGTTTTTTTTTTTTAATTAAAAAAGGTAAGTGCCAATGGGACTGACTCAGCCACTGCCAGGCTTCAGGGCAATAACCCTGGGGGCAGAGCGACTGGCAACCACCGCCCCAAGTGAGGAGAGAACAGGTTGAGCCTCTGGGGCCTGAAGCAGAGACATGAGAACACTGAGCTGTTTGGGAACAGGATGGATCCCGAGGCTCAGGGCCCAACAGGCCCAGTGGGCCACTCCTCAGAGCTTCAGCCCAAATTCACACCTAGGACACACAGAAACCTGCAGGCTGCCCAGGAACCTGGAAAATGATGATCTCATAAAAATACATCATTTAATTTCAACAACTCATTATCATTTCTTTTAAAGCAAGCAAGGCAAAATCCATCCTATTCAAGGAACTTTGGTCTTAGTCTGAAAGACTAAATGCTGGGGGACAAGGACACAACATATAATTTGATCCCAAGGGAGAAAAACAGGCCTCTCTCCTGCTGTTGTAAATTATGGATAGAAAAAGCTTTCCTTTTTCACAAGTACCCAACGTCCCCTCAGGGGCTTCCCTGGTGGCTCAGAGGTTAAAACGTCTGCCTACAATGCGGGAGACCCGGGTTCGATCCCTGGGTTGGGAAGATCCCCTGGAGAAGGAAATGGCAACCCACTCCAGTACTCTTGCCTGGAGAATCCCATGGACAGAAGAGCCTGGTAGGCTACAGTCCATGGGGTCACAAAGAGTGGGACACGACTGAGCGACTTCACTCACTCAATGTCCCCTCATATGGTTCCCTACCTGGTGACCTCAGGGCTCCAGAAAGCTCCTCAGTCATGTGTCAAGTCCCAGTCAGGGAGTGGATACCTCAACCATTTCCCAAGATATTAAGAAGACATTATACCCAGAAATCTTACACTATGTGGTTTAGAGGGCAATCTTGGCCCAGTACTCTTAAAGCATCAGCTATGAAATGTGAATATGCCAAACAATCATACAAAGTGCTTTTTTTTTTTGGCGGGGGTGGGGGGGGTCCTTCAGATTGGTTAATATCTATCGATCTCTCTTCAATTCAACTGATTCTTCCTTCTGTTATTTCCAGTCTGCTGTTGAGCCCATTTGGTGAATTTTTAAATTTTGATATATTTTCAGTTCCAGAATTCCCATGTGGCACATTTTTTTATAGTTTCTATTTCTCTGCTAAGAGTTCCTATTTATTAAATCATTACAAGTAATCCTTAATATGCTTGAGCATCTTAAGAGCTACTTATAAATGCCTGCCCACTAATTCTATCATCTGGCTCATCTTGGGGTCAGTCTCCGTAGTCCATAAATGACCTCTTCTCTTGAGTAGAGGTAATGTTCTCCTATGTCTGATGTTTACTAATTTTGGATAACCCTGGACATTTGCAAATGATACGCTGCAGAGACTCAGGATTCTGTTACACTTCCTGGAAGAGTGTTTGGTTGTTTGCTGTAACATTCCAGGGACTTGGCTATGCTCTAAACTCCAAACTCTGTCTTCCCTGCAATGGATGGCAGCTGGCATCTGCATCCAGCTCTTTAGCCTCAGCTGGACTGCTTGGGGTCTGCCCCACCCACCCACAGTTCAGGGGTCAACTAGAGGTTTGGACACAGCTCATACATAGAACTTGGGACTCAACCTGTGTGCTTCTTCCTTTCCAGGTCATCCCCTGCAACCCTCCAGGTGCTGCAGTAGCCCTGAACTCTGTCCTCTGGGTAGTCACTCCAGTAAGAGTGAGCGTTTACTGAGCTTGAGCCATCTTGTTTGGTATCAACTGGGCTTGCTTTGAGATGGGTAAGCCATAAAGCCTGAAGACCCATCCTGTGCCATTGCTATCTTCCAAGTGGCCCCTTCGTTCAAATGTTACCTCTGCCTGTTTGGGTTGCTCTCTGGTGCCTTCAAATAGTTGTTTTCATATTTTGCCCAGCATACACAGTTGTTTTCTGTGGGATGGCTGGTCTGATAAGAGCAATTCTGCCATTACTAGGAGAACCCAGGCCCTGGTGTGCTAATATAAAATTGTGCAGTGTCAGGCGCCTCTCCCAGAGGAGACTGACTCAGTAGGCTTGGGTGCAGCCCAAGAGCCTACACTGTAGAAAGACTGTTCAAATACCTCCTATCACATTGATTCCTCCTTATTTATTATGCATATACTCACAGAAAATCTAACCTAAGCTATATTTATTTACCAGAGAAAAACAACCAAAAATGCATACTTAACCACCAGTGCCAGTGACCCAATAAAGCTCATGGATCTTCCTGAAGGAGCACAAGCTCAGGATTGATTCAGTGGTCTGCAAGACACAGCATGGAGCCATGGGGATGGCAGAGAGAACCAAAGCAAGCAGGTCAAGAGACACTGGGTTTGTCTCCGAGCAGTGGGCCTGAAGACGTGGCCCCCTTCAGAACCCCTGTGCGGTGTGCACAAAGACAGGGAGGCACTGACTCAGGTCAGACTGACAGGGCTTAAGAAGTCTGCAAACTGGAATCCTGGCTCTCCCTTACAGTGGATGAATTTTAAGCTACTCAACGACAGACCACACTTACTTCCTCACCACTACCAGCTCAGTACCAGCACTCTGCCCAACTGGAGTAGGCACTCAATAAATATTTTCTAAATAAACAAAGAAAGTTATTTTCTGGTGCAGGAGGTTATCAAGTGAGTGATCTGGGTCAAAAGGCACTATGCGTCAGAGAGAACAACCTCTCCAATGAGAGCTCTTATCAGGAAACAAAATCAAAACACCCTGAGTGGTTAGTAATTGAAAACAACTCAATCTGAAAAACTTCCAAGACTGGCCTCACTCAATTTTCCCACCAAAGGAAGGCTCAATTCTTGTACTTATTTTAATAACATCTGTTTCACAGGTACACTTACTGTATTAGAATTTTCTTGAAATTCAGAATCTGTGGACAGAAGGCTTAAATTTCTCAGACAAAGTGAGTGATTTGTATCCTGTGAAAGAAAAAAAAAAAATTCTAATTGACAAAAAATTGGGATTTACTGTATTCTATTATGTAATAAAACACTTGATTACAGTGTCCCTAAGAATCCAAACATCTAGAGAATAAAAAACCATTCAAAACAAAGGCTACATGAATTACTTCAATTTTTAAAATCCTGATATTCTTAAGAAGAAATCGTTTACATTCTTAAACATGGTTAGTAGAGTTTAAGAATTATCTCATGACTCAGGCTCCAGAGTAACAAAAGCTATAATAACATGAAATCAATAATATTTGCGAAATTGGTCTATCATTGACAAAGCAATTTTACATGACTTCATTTACTATTCATATAATCCTCTGTATTATTATTCCACATTTCCATTTTAAGTATGAGAAAATTAATGCTAAGATTAGCAGGGAATGGTCCAATTAACATAATTAACTGCTAATCAACCTAACACAGACCCAGTGCTTCTGACTGGAGTCCACCTTCCTTCCATCACTCCACTGTGCCCCCAAGATGGGCATCTCAGGCACTGTCACTTGGTGGTACTGAGGGGTTACCATTCCGATACGGGTTTCTGGGCGAACTCAGAATTCTGGATTCCTAGAATGCCAGTTGTGATTCACATACTTTATGTGGTCGCCCTACTTTGCCTCATGCATCATATGTTCCGATTCGTGCGTGTATTTAACAAATACTCACTGAGCATCTAATATGTATTAAGCCCTGTTCCAGGCCCAGGGATACAATAATAAAGTCCCTGCCACCAAAGAGCTTACAGTCAGTGTGGGGAGGGGGCCAGACAAAAAACCAAATAGATATACAGTATACAAGAGAGTAAGGGGAGTGGGGGAAGGCCAGGGTAAGAGATGCTCTTTCATCAGATAAGGAAGGGACTCTTAGATAAAGTGACCTTAGGGCAGATACTGAAGAAGACCTGGGCCATGCACACATGTGGGGAAAGCGATTCACACACAGGGCACAGTGTGCACAAAAGCCTGGAGGCAAGGTGGGCTTCCCCAGTTCAAGGAACCACAAGGTGGATGGTACGGCTCAAGTGAAATGAAGTGAAGTAAATGAAGAAGGAAGTGACCAGGCCAGAGTGTCTAGGACTTTCCGGGCCACTGTAAAGATTCTGATTGCTACCTTAAGTGATATAAGAAGCTACTGAAGGGTTATAAGCAGAAAACAGACTTGATTTGCCTCATTGTTTAGGAGGATCAGGGTGGAGTATCAGTGGGGAGAAGGGAGGGGAAAGGTGCTAAGAAAACCACTTAGCAGGTCATTGCAAGAATCCAGGCCAAACAATGACAAGGGCTTGAATGAAGTAATCAGATCAGATTCTAGAAAGATGGAACCAAAAGATGATGGTGGGTGTGTGCAATGAGGAGGAAAAAAGAGGAGTCAAGAATGACTCCAGTATTTTTGGCCTGTGCCACTAGAAAAACAGAGGTGCCATTTACTAAGATGTGGAAGACTGCAGGAGGAACAGGCTGGACGTGTCAGGACTGGGAAACGTAGGTGACAGCTGGGTGGAGACATCGAGTAGGACGTTGAATACATGTCTAAAGTTCAGGAAGAAATCTGGGCTCGAGATATAAATTTAGGACTCAAAGGCAATCTTGATGGCTTTGACAGCCCAAGACTAGAGCAGATTCCCTTCACTAGGGAGCCGACAGTCAGCCAAGAGATGTGAAGTCTGGACCCTGTGCACTGGGACCTCCAATGCGTAGAAGCTATTGGTGAGAAACTGTGATTGTTACAAAACCGAGAAAACTGATCATGACCTCATAAATGCAGCTTTGTAGACAAAGACTCTCAAATCTTAGTGTTTTCATCTGGTTTTACAGTGAGACTGAGGCACAAAGAAGCCATTTGCCTAAGGTCATGTGACTAGTGGTGGAGCTTGGATGTGAATTCAGACTCTTCATAACCAATGCTGCTTTGCCTCCTATGATGTGGGGGTCAAGAACCAGGCTCTGGAATCAGATGGTCTGCCTAAAGGGTGCTAATTACAAGCTTTGGATACTCAGGCAAGTTATTTATTTCTCCTTACCTCGGGTTTCTCTATCAGTGGTATGGGAATAATAATACTGACCTCTTGTAAGCAGGATAATTCACGAAGAAAACTTAGCACAGTACTTGCCATAAACATTCAGTAAATGTTAGTTATTATTACCAATAAGATACAGGGGGAAGAGTCCATTTAAAAGGATCCTTTGCACCTGGAGAAGGAAATGGCAACCCACTCCAGTACCCTTGCCTGGAAAATCCCATGGACAGAGGAGCCTGATAGGCTACAGTCCATGGGGTCACAAAGAATCGCACATGATTGAGCAACTTCACTTCACTTGCTGTTTAAAAATCAGTAACCACAGAATCATGCTGTCTCTCCCCAAATCAAAACCATATTATACCCCCCCCCAAAAAAAACAAAAAACCATATTACATACTTTAAGAACCTTGTTATTCTAAAGGGGGTCAGTGAGCTTCCACTTTATTTATAAAATAGTAAAATAATAACAGTTCTCACTTTTTGGGTGCAAAAGACATAACATAAGTGCCCAATACCATATCAGAAGTAGAAACAGTAAATGTGTCCCAGGATCTCTCTGGCAAGAAGCCGCAGGGGAGAGGGCTTGGTAAAAACCAGACAGAACCACCTAAACCTAGGCAGAGGCCTAACTGTGAGTCAGTGCCTTAAAGACAGTGGCTATCGAACCTTTAAGTCCGCAGACAATTCTAAAGGGCAGGGGACCCCTCTGCCCCGGACTCCACCTGGTTCTCCAGCGATGGATTAATGGAAGGGTGAAGCAAATCACTAAATCGTGTCCCAAACTCAAGTTCAAATGTATCATTTTATACAACATGAATGGGAAAATAACACCCTTTGAGAGCACCTGGCCAACCCTTTGGTAGCCATTCTGAGACCTCTGGTTCCAAGACGCCTCTTCCATCAGACCTGACGGAGGGGAGCAGGAGCCCCATCAGGGGCTAACGCACAGGGAGCCTGGTGAAACTTCTGGCTTCTGCCACCCCCTTACAAAGACATAGATCTTGACACTGATTCCTTCTCTCTCACTAACAGACTTAGAGAGAAGGCATTTTAACCTTCTGAGACACAAACAACTGTCACTGTTCTATGGTGCCCAGATCAAAACAAGAGACAAAACACTCCACACCTCTGATCCGTTGTGATTTAGAAGTGCACTGTATGAGTTTCCTTTGTTATCGTGACCTTTCATGTGACTTTTGAGACTGTACTGAGTGCTGAATGTTTTCTCACAGCCATTACTGGGGCAGAAAAAGGGTCTTTCACCTGCAAGAATGAGAAGAGGTGTTAATTTCACCATAAAATCATTTCACTGGATTGAGACATCTACTTTCCCCTAATATAGGGAGGTAAATATGAGGGTTCAAGTAATACACTGGATCAATTACCCACAAGTTAATCATTCCAGTCCTAAAATTTAATGCAGAGTAAAGCACTGAGAATGGCCTGCTCCTAGGAAGTGGAAAGAAAAGACTAGTTTCTTTTTTCCCCCCTCAGATTCTTTACTGAGTATCTCTGAATTGGTTTTATTTCTTAAGGTTAAGCTCCTGAGTCCAGCCTTTAGATCCTTTTTAACATCTGAGAGGAACTCAAACATTATAGGTGAAGGCCAACTGATTAGACTTGCTCTCTCCACAAAGCTGTACAGGTCTCAATGGAAACACACGTATTTACTGGCTCAACGAAGGTTAAAAGATAAAAATTAGCCTAAACTCACCTGTATGTGTACGGACGTGAGTTTTAAGGTGGTGGCTTGCTGCAAATGCTTTTCCACAGCCATCATGATCACACCTAAGGGAGTTGTTTAAGCAGAGAGGATAGCAGTCATTAGCTAATAGACCTTTACCTTCAATATCTCTTGTAAATATAAGCTTAAATTAAAACTGCTCAGAACACTATAATCAGATCGACAAAATGGGTTTTACAGATGGGAATGATGACAGGTCCCTGGAAAAGTAAGGTGACAAATCTGGGATCAGAGGGAGAGGCTGGCCCAGGAAACGTGTTTCTTGTCCTACAGGTAAGGCACATGCTGAGAGCCAGAACAATGAAAGTCTTTTGATGAATGACACAACAGAATTCTATTGACAATGAGAACGCATATGGAAAATCTACTATGGCAAATGAAACATAAGGAATATCAGTGATGGGTACAGAGGCTTTCACATAGGCACAGGGCCGGAAATACAACACTAGAGCAAAATCAGTCAGAATACACTGGCTACAGTGTAATTATCTGTCATCCTCAGAGAACTTTCCTCTTTTACTTTCTTGATAACTAAAACCAGAGGTAATATTTCCCTCCTTAGGACTCCAAGGGCATTTACCTACATGCTACTTTTATGGCACCTGTCATTCCCAATCTGATTTTATCTCTGTGTGCATACATCTGTTATCTCTTCTCCTAGATTGCAATTCCTTTGAGGGCAGGGTCCACATAGTTCTTCACACTTGCTGTAGTTCTTGCACATAGCAGGCATTCGGTCACTATTTACATGAATGAATGCATATACTTATAAGCCAAAATATTTTATTTCTTTAAATAGAAAGCTTCTCTAAAGCATTTTACTTTTTAAGTACATAAAATCATTGTGTCTAAAGCCCCATCTAACATTCAAGAAAAATTAGCAGTTTTAATCATGACAAAAACACATGTAATTGAACAGAAATCAGAAACCCCTTGACAGCCCTATGGGGAAAAAAGCAACCCAAGCTTCACAGCAGCTGGAGAGTAACCAACTAGGATCTAAAAATTCTTGCCTTTAGAGGGGCCATGACTCAGAAACGTATCTGTAATTCTTAAAAACACATTTCCATTTAATTGGTGTTTAAGAGTTGGTCCCGTAAGACTTTCTGATTTTTAGGTATCCTAATGAGATGAGTGATTTGAGAATAGAAAGGCAGCATATTTAATGCCATGAGTGTAACAGCAATCCCTCCTGCCTAAATTCAGAGACATGTTTATAGACAGTTTTTAGTAATATATCTATGTTATATTTAGGACAAATCCTGACAAACTGATTACCTTGTTAAAAACATCATATAATAACTCCAAAGCTGTTTTTCAATCCCTGCTGAATGCCCAGAACCACGCTATATACTGTGAGCACAGGAGAAAGTAGATGCTACAACTCCTTCCTTCAAGCTTATATTTATACATGTATCAATTAATTATACATGTATCAATTAAATATATATGTGTTCATATATATATATATGGAAATCTACAGATAAAAATGGATGCTCCTAGCACTGTTTACAATAGCCAGGACATGGAAGCAACCTAGATGTCCATCAGCAGATGAATGGATAAGAAAGCTGTGGTATATATACATAGTGGAATATTACTCAGCCATTAAAAAGAATGCATTTGAATCAGTTCTAATGAGATGGATGAAACTGGAGTCTATTATACAGAGTGAAGTCAGTCAGAAAGAAAAACACCAATACGGTATATTAATGCATATATATGGAATTTATAAAGATGGTAATGATGACCCTATGTGCGAGACAGCAAAAGAGACACAGATGTAAAGAACAGACTTTTGGACTCTGTGGGAGAAGGCAAGGGTGGGATGATTTGAGAGGGTAGCATTGAAACATGTATATTACCATATGTGAAATAGATCCCCAGTTCAGGTTCGATGCCTGAGACAGGGTGCTCAGGGCTGGTGCACTGGGATGACCCTGAGGGGAGGGATGGGATGGGGAGGGAGGTGGGAGGGGAGTTCAGGATGGGGAACACATGTACACCCATGGCTGATTCATATCAATGTATAGCAAAAACCACTACAATACTGTAAAGTAATTAACCTCCAATTAACATAAATTAATTAATTTTTAAAAAAGATGCTCCTATATGTTTGTATGCACACATGACATATTACAAAACAACAACCAAACAAGTGATTAAAAAAAACAGCAACAATACTTGCACCACTAGCCTGAGTATCCTTACCCCTCATCCTCTCCCCTCCTCACCTCTCCTTAGGTAGCTGTCCTTGCCCTGTGCTGGGCCTCTCAGTCTCGCACTGTCTGGTTACTTGTGGTTCTTTTCCACTAGAGCAGACAAAGGTTCTCAGGAGGACGGCCTACATCTTAGCATTTCTCTAGTACTGATGACTGAGTTTCAATCAACGCTTCGTGAAAGTCAAGGGAAAGAATGAGCCAGAGAAGCCACCACCCACAGGGCAGGCAGGGAGGCTCGTGGACCCCATCACCCCTCCTTCAGTCTGCAGTTGTTCACAGCTATCCTGGGGAGAGCAAACACTGCCCAAAGAACTAGCAAAGGGAATTTCCTTCCCATTTTGAAAAACACTAGAGTACCTCAAGACACCCCCCTGAAAGCCGGTCAGTGATAAACAGAAAACAGCAAGACCCACCGAAATGGCTTTTCTCCTGTATGGGTTCGAATGTGCTTCCTCAGATCGCTGAGTGTGGTGAAGTATTTGCTGCAGCCTTCAGATTCACAGTTAAACGTCTTCCCTGTGTGAAGCCTCTGATGTGCTTTCAGCCTGCAAGATACCCCGGAGAAATCCCCTTTGTCATGCTGCACGTCAGAGCTTTCCCACGTCAGCTTAATGTGCATCAAGGTCAAGTACATAAGAATTCTCCAGTCATAATACACTAATATCAACATTTTGGGCTCAAAGACAAATTCAAAGAATTATACAGCAGAGTGGTGTTGAGTGTGACCCTGAAGCCAGGCTGCCTGGGATTCAAATTCTGGTCTCCTCTACCGGAAGGGGATCTTGACCCAGTTACAAAAGCTCTCTGTGCGTCCATTCCCTTTGCGGCACACGAGAATACTGCCTAGCACACAGTGAGTGCTTTTTAGGTACGTGTACTCAGCTGTGTCTGACTCTGCGGCCCTATGGACTGGAGCCCGCCAGTGTTAGCTATTACTATGTTTGCTCTGTGACAGCCAATGCTGAAGACTAATATAAGTCTCCTGATATAAACAGTAGAAAAGAGAAACAGCTAATGAGCAGTCCACTCCCCACTTCTTGGGGGTAGAAAAAAGTTAATCTTCAAGTTGAGGCTGGGAAGGAAATCAAAGAATCCTTAATACCAAGCTCCTGAGCCAACAGGGGTATTATTCCATACCAACTACTAAAGTCCTCAGGCCGGGATGTCATTCCAGGAGATACGCATCCAGACACAAAGCTTCTCTGACTGTAACTGACCCAGGAGGTGTCCATGTTTAAGTAACAGCTGCTCTGAGGAAGTGTCAGCAGCTGAGCGCGGCTGCCCTCTTTAACGCCCTGCACGTGGGCGTCTGCCCCGCGCAGGGGAGCGCCGCGGTCACGACAGAGCCGGGCTGGGAGGCCGGGGGAGCTGGGGGTGGGGGGCGGCTGACCTGTACAGCGTGTTGAACGCCTTCTCACAGCCCTGCACGTCACACTCAAATGGCTTCTCCTTCGTGTGCACCCGCACGTGGATCCTGAGGCTGTAGGAGGTGAGGAAGGCCTTGCCGCAGCCCTCCTGATTGCAGACGAAGGTGTACTCCCCTCGGTGGGTCTTCTGGTGGGTGCGCAGGTTGCCTGCCGTGCTGTAGGTGCGGGGACAGCCCTCAAAGGTGCACTGGTACCGCTTTACCTGGCAGACGGAGGACAGCTCGTCAGTGGGACGACGGAGCTGCCCAGGGCCTAGCGCCCCCCAGAGCTCGGCTCTCGGGAGAGGCAGGCGAGATACACAGGCTTCCATCGTCGACACAGAAAGCACCGTCTAACACGAGTGGGGAAATCTTCCTGCTGAGCAAATTACACCAGGGCAACAAATGATGCGAGCGATGGGCAGAGACAAGGCAGAGGTAGTCAAACACTCTAAGTGAAAACGAGACCGGTGTCCACTCAACACCCACCCCCTAAGGGTGGGCAGATACTACTACACTCACCCACACTCAAATATAATCTGACTTTAAGGTTGGACTCAACATCCTGTCCTCTGGGCCTGTAACCTGATGAGAACTAACCAATATAAAACTGAGTTTAAAACATTCTGAAATGTATACACTCAGTCACAGGTGTACTAGTTCAGTTATATACCAGCATAGTCTCTTCTCTAATTTCGTATCTACAAAATGAAAAAAAAAGTATCATGCATTTCTGGGAATATTTGGTAGTATGGCATTTCTCAAACTGCCATCCCCTTGGTCTCCCTCCCTCACCCCCTTCCTGGAAAGTGTGCTATCCACAGGAGCCTCCACTTCCCTCAATGCCTGTGGAACCACTCGGCAAGGTGCCTTCCCTGGACGGAACCATGCTCTTGAACTTGCTCGTGGTCAAACTCTTTCCTCCTTCCCAATTTTCCTTTAGTATTTGAAAAAAATTTCTCACCAACGCCCTCTCCGACTGAAAACGTGTCCTATACCACAAAGCAATTCCGTGGGGCTCTTTATCTTCTTCCCTGAGTCACTCACTCCTTTTCTTTAACCTCGACATATAGGTTCAGCCCAAAGCTTCTCTCTCATCTTCCAAACCTTTCCTTTCTCTCTCCTGGGGAAGGGGAAGCATCACAGCCTTGGCCAGAGAAAAACGAATACTAGCGCTTAGGTTCAGGACTTTGAGCAGGTCTTTCCAAGTCTCTGAACTAGAGGTTCTTTATTTCTACACGGCACAACTGAATGCCCTGCTGTCTCATTGTGCTTGTGAGCAGAACAAAATGAGATAAAGCATCTGGAAAAGACTCTGTCAATGTCCTGATGCTATATGTATCAGGGTGCTAGTTCTGCCTGTTCTTCAGCTTTAGCGAACACCTTCCTCCTTTAGTCCCCATCATTCTCCAAGCTTTAGTTGACTGCTCCCGCCACACTACTGGTATTCATTCAACAGTTAATGAACTCCTATATCCCAGACAACAAGCTAGGTACCACAGATAAAAAGGTGAACAAGACAAAAAGCTTTCTTTTTAAGGAGGATCACTTTAAGGAGGCACATGTGCACAAATGATTATAGACTGTGCTGAGTTGGACAATGTACACACCCACGGTGCTTGGGAAGCATAAAAAAGGGAAACCTAATCCTTCTCAGAAAGACTGGACTCAGTGAAGGCTTGGAAACTGAGGCATTCTGTCTGAACTGAGGATGTGTTTTGGTTTTCCTATTGGTCTATTTTTTAGGGATTAACTGAAAAAGTGTTCCTCAGACAAACTGGAAGAGACGGGCCTTCCAGAAGAGGTAACACCGTGAGAACTACATGCAGAGGTGAATGAGAACACTGGTGTGGAGACCAGACACACCTCAGTAGGTAAGAAACTGGAAAAAGAGTCTAGAAAAACGAGTGAAGCCTCCTAAGTTTAGCGATGAAGTGGAGGAACAAGACAACAGGGAGCCAAGATACCTTGGTTTTAACCAAGACAGTGATGCAGCCAGATGAAGGGTTCACAAGAGATCATTCTGGAAGCCTGTGGAAGACAGCCTGGAAGGGTAAGTGAACAGAAGGGGTAGCAGAGGTTAAGCGAAGGGGGACAGCTGTCCAAGACAGAGGTGAGGAGAATCCAAAGTAGGGGAGTGATGGGGCTTCCCTGGCAGTCCCGGGGTTAAGACTCTGTGCTCCCAATTAAAGCGGGCATGGGTTCAATCCCTGGTCAGGGAACTAAGATCCCGCATGCCACACAGCATAAATAAATCAAGTGACAGTGGACACGATGAGAGATGAATTCCAGAGAAAATAAAATGGGGGAAATGAGTGGCTCTAGCGACAACAGTGTGCTGGGGAGTGGTAGAAATGGGGAAAGGCAAAGTCAAGATCAACTCCCAAGATTAGGGCCTGAATGACAGAACAGATGGTCATATACCAATTTTGGACTGGACAGAGGGTGGGGAGAAGTGATCAGTTGGGTCTGAGGTACTGCCAGGTAGCAATGTCTAGCAGGCACACATGTAGGCTGGAAGCTAAAAATGAAGTCTAGCACAGGGGTTTCTGGTACACAGGTAATAGCTGCCTTTGCCTTTGCCTTTGAACCAGTTGGGCTGGTTCACGGCCCAACTCTGCTACTTACTGTGTGACTTTGGGGAAATTACTTAAGCTAAGTCTCCGGCTCCTATTTACAACGTGGAGGAAAGAAAATCAATCTTTTTAGGGTTGTTATAAGGATTAGGGATAATTCGTGTAAAGTATTTCAACACAGGGACTGGCATATAGTAGATGCTCAATAAAATCTTGGCCACAAGGCCAAAGGACGGACTCCTGAATGTCACCAATGTTTAGGGAACTGGTAAAAAGAAGAGATGCCATTGATGGGTGAATGGGTGACAGGACTGGGGAATTGGGAAGAGAATGCAAAGGAGATGAACGTCACAGAAGCCAAAAGATAAAAGGTCTTAAGGAAAAGAGAATGGTCAGGATGTTTTCAGAGAAAACAAAGAAGATAGGAAGGACTAGGGGAAGTATAGGATCCAGCAGCTAGAATTCACCAAGGACTCAGCAAGACTAGTTTCAGTGGACTGATGAGGTCAGGAGTCTGGCTTAAGGTGGGTCATGAAGGCAGGGGGAGGGGCTGGAGATGCAGAGAGGCAGCAGCACAGTGGACTTGAGTTGATGAATCTTGTTTGTTTGACGTAAGGCAGGTTTTGAGCATGTCTGGAAGGAAAAAGGTCCTAGAAGAAAGAAGCTGAGGATCTGGGAGGAACACAAAGATGAAGCCTGGGTGGAGGGAAAGGCCTCGGATAATAGGGAGGAGGACATTCAGTTTCAGAGGAGGAGGATCTGATGCTAGGATGCGATGACTCAAGGGCCTTTTGGGCCATGTGGTCTCTCTTACAGCTACTCAACTCCACTGCTCTATGTCTGTGGAAGTAACCATTTGCTGTTGTTTAGACGCTAAGCTGTGTCTGACTCTTTTGCAACCCCATGGACTGTGGCCTGCCAGGCTCCTCTGTCCATGGGATTCTCCACGCAAGAATACTGGGGTGGGTTGCCATTTCCTTCTCCTGACCCAGGTTTAGGCAGACTCTTTTATCACTGAGCCTTCTGGGAAGCACCAAAGTAACCACAGATAGGACATAAATGGACAAGCAAGGCCGTGCTCCAAAAAACTTTATTTATGGACAATGAAATCTGAATTTCATCATTTTCATATATCATGAAATAACGTTGTTTTGAGTAAAAATAATTTTTAAATGTGAAAACCATTCTACAAAAACAGGCATCTGTTTCCCAAACCCTGAACACCTGTGGGGATGGAGAGGGAGGGGCCCTGAGTCCTCTCATCTCCCCTGGGCTCCAGGTCTTTCTCTCAAAAGCCCAATCCCTAGTAGGATTTTGCACAGGAGTTTAAGTTCCCCAGACAAAGGTTCTCCTGCTCATTCACCCCTTTCCGTTCCCTAGGCCGCTCCGGAGGTGCTCCATAAATACCCAATGAACTGAACTATTGACCAGGCATTCTCATGTCTCAGGGCCTAGTTTTGAAGCCGATCACCACCAGATTTATTTTAAAACAGTGCACACACGTGCCACTTCCCAGCTCAAATGATAAAGTCCCAATTCCCTAGCCTTGCATTCAAACTCCTTCAAGGTCCCCTTCAGGCCAACAGCAGAGAACTGTTAAGGCCCACAAGGGACAGTACCTTCTTCCCTAACTACAACACTAGAGTCCCATTTGCCTGCCTTTGCTCTCTCTTTTCTCTCTCCTGGAAATGTCCAGTTCCTTTCTTCTCTGCTTTTCCCAGTTTCTTCCACCCAAGCTTCACCACCTCCAAGGCCCTCCACTACCATTCCATATCTATGTGACAGTGTCCTTCTCTGAATCCCAATAATATTTAACTATACCACTCACTTGACACTTAGCTTATGCAGTTAATTATCCTCTCATGCACATGTTCTGATTTCTCAAGACTGAAAACCTCTTTGGTACTTCGAGATAGAGATTTCAAAATGATCACTGACCAGGGACAAGAACCATGACTGTGAATGCTCTAATTAAGGAGTCTGCAAGTCTCAGTCATAGAGTTTTATGACAGTGGTGAATGACAAGAGCAGAATTTCCTTCTTAAGATGCTACAGTAGTTGATAACTTCCTAAGTAACAAGTGAAATTAACTACCCATTACTGTCTCTCTGCCCTGCCAACCGCTGCTCTCATCTAGGTTTTCTTACTTGACCAATTCAAGCTTCCATTAAGTGTTCCTTCCTCAGGAACCTGTTCCCTGACCCATTCCTACTCCCTCCATGAATGAGAAGAGGTATCCTTATTTCAGGGACTTCCCAGTTGGCTCAGCGGTAAATAATCTGCCTGCCCAGCAGGAGATGCAAGTTCGATCCTTGGGTCGGGAAGAACCCCCAGAGAAGGAAATGGGAACCTGCTCCAGTATTCTTGCCTGGGAAATCCCATGAAAGATTGGGTTGGGACGATCTCCTCGAAGAGGGCAGGGCATGGCCACCCATTCCAGTAATCTTGCCTGGAGAATCTCCATGGACAGAGCAGCCGGGCAGGCTACAGTCCATGGGGTCGCAAAGAGTCAGACACGACTGAGTGACTAAGCACAGCACGTGGCATTCTGTACGTCTTTATTTTTTTTTTTTTTGTATGTCTTTAAAGCAAAGAATACCAGTAAGATTAAATAATTATGTAATTAATAATTTACATAATCATCTATT